GTGTGCTTCCTTTTGGAATTGTGGCTGCTTAGTGATGGTGCCTGGCCTGGGATTCTGCTTGCTTTTTGAACTTGACAATCACCTGACCACCCCCTGCCCTCTCTGTTCCAGTGATTGTAGCTGTGTTCTGAGAAATGAGTCATGCTACACTTTGGTACATCTTGTCAATAGTTAGCAGTTCAATTATCATATTCAACTGAATCTAGGTCCAACCAGGAAATGATTGCAACAGGGGAAAAAATGGCAGGAAAGAAAAGATTCATGCTGTAATGACCATTCTAGCTAGATTTTCCCTAAAGTTGAAGTATTAAGATGATAAATTTAGGCTACAGAATAACCAACAACATAAAATGTTCTATATTCAGCAATAGAGAATAAGACAGCAGTTGTAGGGAGGTGGGGAGGGATGGAATGGTGTAGGGCACATGACATATAGCAGAAGACCCATAGGGAGAACAAGTTCAAGGTTCTTGGGAATAACATGAAGGCTGTCATTAATAGCAGTGTGTAGTATTCCAGAGTTTTGCTACATTAGTGAGTGTTGCTGTTGCCAGGCAGAGTGGCATGGGGATGGAGAGCAGGGTGTGAGAAATGGGCAACTGGGAGATGATTCACATGTTGATGGTTTCTCTATAGTAAATATCTATCTTCCACATGCCTACATACCACCCTTTTCTCACTACCCACTTGAATCCAACTCTCATCTGCAAACTAACTTAAGCTCCAACTCCTTGCTGAAGCTTTTCAGATGAATTCTGCACTTGAGGGAATTTCTGTGGACACATTTGGTCAGTTCCTTGGTGTTTGTTGCCTTTTCAGTGATGCAGCTCTGCTGTGCATAAAAGCCTGGATGGGGATCTTAGTGCAACGGCTGCATCTTGCAACCAGAAGCCTCTCTGTCACCTAACGCAGCAGCACCCAGACGACTCAGGACATGGGGAGTAGGAGGTATGCACTTACATTGTGGTTCATTACATACCTACATACAAACATACTATTTAAAAGTCCTCTGGGCTACATCTGCCTTAATATATTATCTTACTCCCAGGAATATTCAACAACAAAAATCCTGAGCACATTCACTTAACTGATTCCATGGTCATTTTGTGCCTGAGGTTTGAAAAGTCCAGGTCTAGAAGGTCACTTACTGATATAACTATTTATCTCACTTACAATTAACAAAAACTTCTACGTGTCTTTTGGGATTTCTTTGATCCATTTTCCAGAGTTAATTGTTATCTGTTTATTGCATTTGCTTTACTGAGTAATTTGAGATATTTAAATGCTTTCTGGAGTCACTAGTATCCATCCTTTATCCCTTTAGAACTCTGTTATCATAAAAATAAGATTTCCAAGCTTGGTGTGATAGTGCATATCTACTTTCATTGAACTTGAGAGGCTGAGGCAGGGGGATCTGTATCTCGAAACAGATGAGTAAAGAGGCAAATAAACACAAATTAAAATGAAAACAGGAAAGATTTCCTGCGTCTCTAAAATCATTTCTATAAACTCAATCTCTCCTCCTTCATTTACTTTTACAACATGCAAAGTGGTGATAGACCCTGGGGATGAAGCAGCCAAGACACAGAAAGCCATGGCTTACTTAAGGACCTTTCTCTCCTCTGAGCAAATCTTTGCCGATGAAGCTAACTATGATTTGTAGCTCTCTGGAGGATATAGGTATGGGTAAGCACAGTCTAGAACAGTCTCATTATGAATGGATTCGTTGTCTCCAAACGGAAGGGCTTCCTGAAGGCTGAGGTAGAAGCCCTTCTGGGCTCAGCTTGCAATAGACTGCTGCTGCCTTCTCTCTCCTCATCTTTTTCCTCTATGGACTCACATGATTGCCTTCCCGGACCTCTGCTTACCTAAGGCCCTTCCCTCTCCCCTAAACCAGGGCAGCAGCTCTCATTGTTCTGGTTCCTGGGAAACTTGCCTTATGCTGCTCACCTCCTCAACCTGGCCACTGAAGCCCCTTCCCACAGCCCCCTGGCCATCGTCATCCATCACTTCATTAAGTGCTGTAAGCTCAGACTGTGTCTTATTTATTCTTGTATGTCACACTCAAGGGTCACGCCTTGTTCAAGAAAAATCATGTTGACAGCATGGATGAGCAAGTGACTGGCTGGCTGAATGAAGGAGTGAGTGCGTAGAGGGCGGAAGCAGCCATCATGGAAAGCCCCAGTGCAAGCTGTGATGAAAATTGTGCCCTCTCTGTCTGAAGCCAGTATTCTATCATTTTGTGATTCTATGACTGATATTTAACGGCTTCCCTAGAAGTGGCAGATTTTGTGACAGAACTCCAACAGTGAAGGATAGTTGTCTCTAAATATATCTATTTTTTATTAATTTTTTTTATTCATTCCACATACCAATCACAGATTTCCCCCTTCATCCCTCCTCCTGCTCCTCCTCATCTTCCCCCACCCCCAGGCCACCCCCAGTCCCTCCGAAAAGGTAAGGCCTCCCAAGGGGAGTCAGCAAAGCCCAGCATATTCAGCTGAGGCAGGTCCAAGCTCCTCCCCCTGCATCAAGGATGTGCAAGGTGTAACTGTCATCATAGAGCCTTCATCCACTAACAGATAGAGAGCCACGGCCAAGCACCAGGCTGAGCTCCAGAAGTCCAGTCGAAGAGAGGAAGGGGCATCAAGACCATGATGGGGAAACTTACAGAGACAACCGAACCAAACTAGTGGAAACTCATGAACTTTGGACCGCCAGCTGTGGAGCCTGCATGGGACTGGACTGGGCCCTCTGCATGGGCGAGACAGTTGTGTAGCTTGGTCTATTTGAGGGTCCCCTTACAGCGGGAATAGGATCTATCCCTGGTGCATGAACTGGCTTTTTGGAGCCCACTGTCTAAATACATCTTTTATTTTTATTTTTATTTTTATATTTATTTTTAATTTTTTTGATATCTCGAGACAGGGTTTCTCTGTGTAGTTTTGGTGCATGTCCTGGAACTCACTCTGTAGACCAGGCTGGCCTCGAACTCACAGAGATCCGCCTGCCTCTACTGATCGAGTGCTGGGATTAAAGGCGTGCGCCACCACTGTTAAATACATCTTTTAAGTACATTTCAGGCATAATCAAGAAAAAAATTGCAGGAACTAATAATTGTACTGGGAAAGTCTTTGAGGCAACTAAAATACTCAAATTTTAGGGCATCTTACTGGAAGTACACTTCCTCACCAACTGTGGTTGACCTGATTTAGGTTGCACTTTATCCCTCCACCCGGTGAGTGCACCATGCTGTGCTGTGCCATGTTCCCAACAGTGCTTGGTGCTTAGGTGACCCTCACCACACCGCAGCAGGCTACCTGTGTCTCCTTGAGTTCCTGGCTCTGTTTCAGTGACAGAATGTCTAGACTGGTGATAGCAGTGGTGGTTACGATCCTGTTTACGATCAGTATAGTCCCTCCACTAAACACACACACACACACACACACACACACACACACACACACACACCA